TAACTGTGGAATATTCTGCTTACATTCATTGCCTCATTTACTATAAATCACTAATGATTCCTGCCAGGAAGCAGGTGCAGTGCCAGGGGCTATGGAGGGAAAGTGGGAGGGAAGTAACTTGGGGTCATGCAAAGGGGGTCAAATGGGGAAGTCAGACAGACGTGGAGTCTCCCATTAGCTGGGTCACATCCGGCAGATTCTTTGCTTTTTGAATTTCAGTTTCCTCTTTTGTAAAATGAGATCCCAATACCGGCCCCATGAGTTTGTCAAGAGGACAGAATGAGAGGAAGGTAAAGGGGCTGACACATGTCACATGCTGGACTTGCTTCCCTTCCCTCCCACGGACTGTAGCAGGGAGATCTGTTTGCCAGAGAAACTCTACGTTTTCTTGGCTTTTCAGGATGATTAAAGCCGAAAGCCCAGTGGCATCTGGGCTTGAAGATGGTGATTTTGTAGGTCTGGAAGTGACGAAGGGTGTGTGCTTGGTCTTGAAAAGAGAAATAGAATAGAGCTAATGAATAAGAGCGCTTGATAATCAGGGAAGGCAAAATGCATACCTGATCCCATTTTATATTTTCCCCCCCGCCTTGAGGTACATTTTGTAGAAAGTGAATCAAAGTGTATAGTTCTATGAATTTTGACAATAGTATACACACATGTAACCATCACCCATGTCCTGAACATGTCCTGAAAGTTCATCTGTGACCCTTTTTACTAGGGTGGGTCCCTCCCCAGAGGCAGCTATTGATCTGACTTAATTAGAAGCCCGAAAAGGGGTCTCAGTGGACAAAGTCAAGGTGTTGGCAGAGCTGGGTTGTTTTCTGGAGTCTCTAGGGAGAATCTGTTTCCTTGCATTTTTCATCTTTTAAAGACCACTCATATTCCTTGGCTCGTGGCCCCCTTCCTCCATCTCTGAAGCCAACCACGTTGCATCTCTGACCATTCTTCCATAATCACCTCTCCCTCTGACTACAGCCAGGAAAGTTCTCTGCTTTTAAGGACTCGTGTGATTAGATTGGGCCCCCCTGCCTGTATAATCCTGAATGATCCCCTCTCTCAAGGTCGTTAAGCTTCACGACGTTCCTTCTGCCAGGTTGCCATGGGGATTAGAGCTGGACATCTTTGAGGGGCTGTTATTCCACTGACTGCAGCATCTTTTGGCAAGTGTCATATTCCTAAGATCCATCCATGTTGTTGTGTATGTCAGTAGTTTTTTGTTTCTTTGCCGAGCAGTATTCTGGTGTATGACTGTATCATAGTTGTGTGTCTGTTCTTCCATTGATGCATTTGGGTTGTTACCAGTGTTTGGCTGTTACGAATAAATTTTATTCTTACATTGTTTTTTATTTCATTTGGGTAAAACCGTAGGAGAATTGCTAGGTCACAGGGTAATTGCATATTTGACTTTTCATGTGTTTCTTGGTCATTCCCATATCTTCTTTTGTGAGGTGAGGTGTGTTTCCAAGTGTTTTGCCCATGTTTTGTTTTTCCTAGGTGGTTTGTCTTTTTATTATTGGTTTGTAGATGATCTTTCTATGTTCTGAAAATCCTGGGTCAGATAAATGGATTTCAATATTTTCTTTCTGTCTCTGGCTTGCCTTTTCCTTTTTGTAATGGTATCTTCGATGAATGAAAGTTTTAAATTGTGATGAAATCTGATTTCTCAATTTTAGAAAAGTAATTAGTGCCTTTTATATACTGTCTAAAAAAAAGCTTTCCCTGTATCTGAGTCTTGAGGATATTCTCCAATGTTTTCTTCTGGAAACTTTGTAGTATTAGCTCTTATGTTTAGGTCTATGATCCATCTCAAGTTAATTTTGATATGCGGCGTGTAGTAGGTGTCACAGTAAAATTTTTTTCTGTACAGATATCTAGTTATTCCAGCACCATGTTTTGAAAAGACTTATATTTTCTCATTGAACTGCATTCATACCTTTCTCATAAATCAATTAACCAAATACATACTTATTTCTGAACTTTATTCCGTTCCATTGGTCTGTTTGCCAATCCTTGGCCAATATCAGTTTTAATAATTTAACTTTATAGGAAATCTTGAAATCAGATAGTGTAACTTAATTCTCTTCAATATGATTTTGGCTACTATGGGTCATTTTTTGGCTTACATCACTGTTGTGGATTGAACTGCGACCCTCCTCTCCCCCAAAAAGAGATATGGTACCTGTGAATGTGGCCATATTTGGAAATAGAGTGTTTGCATCTGTGACCAAGTTAAGATGAGGTCACACAGAATCAGGGTGGACTCTAATCTAATTGGACTGGTGCCCTTATAAGAAGATGAGAAGAGACACAAAGACACACAGGGGAAAGGCCACGTGAAGATGGAGGAACAGATCAGGGTGAAGCATCTCCAAGACAAAGAAGGCCAGCTATTGCCAGCAAGCCACCAGAAGTGAGGAGAGAGGCCTGGAACAGATTCTGCCTCACAGCCTTAGAAAGAAGCTACCCTGTCCACATCTTGACTTTGGACTTCCAGCCTCTAGAACGCCGAGACCACACATTTCTTTGTTTTAACCACTCAGCTTGTGGTACTTTGTTACAGCAGCCCTGGAAAACTAATACAGTTAATGAAACAACTCAAACTTGCTTCAGCAATAAGGAAATGACAGTTTCTTAAACTGACACATCCAGAGTTGAGGGGTTCCTGATGAAATTTATGTGAAGTATTAGGTGTGAAGATGCGGTTCAATTGTAAAGGTCAGAAATCCCCACAATACTGGCTCACTCAAGATGAGTATTGTCTTTTCTTTTTCTCTCATGTAGGTGTTGGTATTCCAGGATACTCAAATCAACTTGGTTATCCCACTTCCAAATATATACATATCCTAGAAACTCTTACTCTTTTCTTTGTTTTTTTTTTTTTTGGAGGGGGTAATTAGGTTTATTTATTTATTTACTTATTTTAAGGGAGGTACTGGGGATTGAACTCAGGACTTCGTGCCTGCTGAGCCCATACTCTCCCACTGAGCTATACCCTCCCTCCTGAGACTCTCACTCTGGTATATGGGATGACAGATGCAAGACTACTCATATGAGTCCTTAAAAGCAGAGAACTATCCTGGCTGTAGTCAGAGGGAGAGGTGACTACTGAAGAATGGTCAGAGATGCAACGTGGCTGGCTTCAAAGATGGAGGAAGGGGCTACTGCATTACAGCAGCAACAATGACAAAAACAACGTAACAGCTCAAATAGCCACCAGTGGGAGGATGGATTCACACCACAGCAACGTGGATGAATAATTATCATGGACATTATGTTAAACAAAAGTAGCCAGATATAAAAGAATATACACAGCATGATTTTAAGGAGTTGGCAAAAGTAATCCCTGGTGACAGAATTCAGAATAGGAGTTACCATAGGGATTATTTCTGGAGTGCAGTTACTGACTGGAAAGTGGCATAGAGATCCTTCTGGGGGTGATAAAATACTACATCTTGAGCTGGTTGGTAATTACACAGGTGTATATAAGCAGAAATTTACCAATCTGATTTGTGTACTTTATTGTATGTAAGTTATATCTCAAAAATATCCTAAGCAAAAATGACAAAATGTTAACATCTGTTAATTCTCAGTGATAGGTACTCAGAGTGCTATTATTGACTTCTCTGTATTTTTCTGTGCATTAAAATTATATTATAATTTTAGGAAAGAGAGGGAGAAGTAATTCTCCATGACTGAAGTGACACCCATCCTAGAAGAGGTGACATTTTGAGTTGAGGTCCCTGCCCATAGGACTCCCCAGTGCTTGGGTGAAGGAGTTCCCTCACAATGGAATGCAGATGACACCAACCAACCAGCCTCTCCCGGTGGAGGTAGGGTGATCTGCATTGTCACTCTCTCAGTAAACTGGCATGACTCCTAAAAAGTGGGGCTGTTCTGGAGACTCTTTTGAAGATCAGCTTGACTGATTCTTTAGCTGAGAGGGACCTAGAGCCACCATGCAAGAGCTGGGCTAGGGTGTCCACTACCCTGCACCCCAACCTAGCGAAGGAGGGAGAGCTGCACTTGAAAGGCAGCTCCCTGGCCTCAGCTCCCAGATTGGTTGCTGCTCCGTTAGCCCAGGGCATACTCAGTGGGTGCTACAGCGAGTCAAAGAATGTGAGGGAGGGAAAGAGAGAAAAGGGAATTTAATAAGGGAGGTAGGGAAAAAAAAAAGAGGTGAAATGAAAGACGCATATGCCTTCAAGGATCTGGGTTATCTGCTCCTTTATCTGGAGGCTCTTTCTCCACCTTAAGCTGGAGAAAGGGAGTCTGTGGTGAAGCCCAAAGTGGCTCCAAGCCAGACAGACCTGCCTTTCCATTATTAGGTGACCAGACTGCTGCTTAACCACTCTGTGCCTCAGTTTCCTTACCTGTAAAACAGAAGCAGGAATTCTACCTCTCAGGGTTGCTTTGGGCCTGGAAATGGTGCATGCCGAGACTTGAGGGAGGAGGTCCTTGATAACCGGGGTTAGACGCCTCGCTTCCCTCTCCGGCCAGTTTGTTGCTCAGAGACCAGGGCAGCGCTGTCCAAAAGGAATTTCAGCGATGATGGCTGTTGAGAACTTGATATGCGACTAATGCAACTGAGGGACCGAATTTTTCATTTTATTCGATTTCCATTGTTTTATACATAAGAAGCCACCTGTGGCAAGTGACTACCGCATTAGCAGCGCAACGTGTAGGGCCTTCGCAGAGACTGGAGTTATTCCTGGCCACGACTGGTCCCCCGCCAGGCGGCTGGGCGGGGTGGCTCAGTGTGGACACTGAGAGGCGCCCGCTTCGCGCTGCGTCTACACAGTAATTTCTTCCCTAACAAACTCCTCCCGAGCAGTCAGGGCTGGTGTGAACTCCCAGGGCTGTAGTCAGGCCACAGGCTCCAGGATGGGAGCAATACAGGTTAGTAAACGCGTGGACTCCACTGACTTCTGTCCCTCTGGCTTCCTACCCTCTCTGCTCCATCCGCGCACCATCCTCAAGTCCCTTGGGGCAGTGGGGAGGCGATGCGCAGGAGACCCCTCTGTGTCTCCCACATCGGTCTAGGTCTGCCACGGCTCTCGGCTACTGTTTTCTTCGCAACAAGCCCGAAAGGCTCAGCATTTCCATTTCATAGAGGAGGGAACTGAGGCTCCAGGAGTGTAAGGCCATCGCGCGGGAAGCAGCCGAGCATCAGCCATAAACTCTTTGGGGCTCTGGTGACGCCGAAGCCACTTTCGTGGGGCGCGTTGTCAGGGCGCGCGGGGAAAGCGGAGGGTAAATATTTGGGGCTGTAACCCAGACTCCGGCGACTCCGCGTCACTGCGGTTCCGTGGCGGGCTCGTGG